ACGCGGAAGGCGATCTTGATGGACTCGGGGTCGATGAAGGACGTGCCGCTGGTCAGCGGGATGCGGCAGACCCGAGAGGTTGTGGGGGAGAAGGAGCTCAGCGAGCTGGGGAAGTACTGCACGTCATGCCGCGCCGTCACGTAGCTGGTGTTGCTTGTTTTCAGCTTGTAGTCCAGGCTCTGCATCAGCTCATCCTGGGCTCCGGCGGTGACTACCTCCATGCTTGTTTATATACACGCATTTTGACTCGTACGGCGAAGGAAAACTATTCCTCTAGTGCGTACATAGATGTACGGACGAGAGGAATAGCATTTCTCAGCGCAAAAACCGTGCAAATGCTATTAGTCTCGTCCGTATATACACATACGGACGAGACTAATAGCATTTTTTCAGCGAAAAACCGTGCAAAACGAGCTACTAGTCCAGGGCCTACATTGATGTAGGCACTGGACTAATAGCATTTTGTAGCCCAAAATCGTGCAAAAAATGGTATTCTTCCAGGGCCTACATTTGCGTAGGCCCTGGAAGAATAGTATTTTGCAGCGCAAAACCGTGCAAAAACCGTCCAACCGAGGAGGAGTGTTTTACGCAGCCTCAATGTCTCGCGCCAGCTGGTCAAAGCTGGGCGGAGGCAGGCTCCGGCGTGACTGCCCGGAACTGGAGCTCGCCCGCGAGCTGGCTGGGACTGGGGCAGAGCCACGGGGTTCAGGCCCCAGGAGAAGGGGCGCGGCGTGTTGGGGCGCACGCGGAAGCCGGACTGCGAGCCTGAAGTGCTGCTGCCTGAGCGCAGCGTGAAGTGCTGAGGCTGAGTGGCGTCATTCATGTTGTTGGCGGACCGGACGTCCTGCACGGCCGCGTCCTCGCTGCCCTGCTGGGGCCGGAAGAGCGTGTTCTCCAGCACCCAGCCCGTGCCGCGCGCGAGGCCGTAGGCTGCGCCGCCTGCGATGCCCACGGCCAGCCCCGCCGTTGCCGCCGCGCCAACTCCCGCCGCGCCAGCCAGCGTTCCAGCAACCTCGCCCGCGGTGGGCGCCAGGGCTGCTGCTCCTTCCGCCAGGCCCCCCAGGTACCCAAAGGCTCCGCCCACGCCCTCGGCGGCAACGGCAACCTCGCCCTCCTCCGCAGCCACGACCGCCGTCTCCTCAACGGCCTGCGCCGCGCCACGCTCCACCTCCTGCGCGCGCTGCCCCGCCTCGTCCAGGAGGCGCTCCACGTCACTGGGCCGGCCTATGATCTGCGGAGGCGGCTGCGCCGGGCCCGGACGGGGCAGCACGTTCAGGCGCACGTACTCAGCTGCGTCCTGGGGCAGCTGAGAGCGGAAGGCCTGCGCGGCTGCGAGCCCCGCGGCCCCTGCGCCTATGAGGTCCGCTGCCGCCTGAGCGCCGTCTGCAGTGCTGCGCAGACGGTCCGTGATGGAGGGCGGCCCCTGCCCGTTGCTGGCCAGCGCGCCGGCCTCGGGGTCTCCCGCCAGGTCGTCCTCAACAAAGCGGGTTCCGCCGTACCCTTGGTACCTCCGCGCCAGCCGCACGTCCTCGTCCGTGGCCTCTGCGGGAGTGCGGAAGCCGTCCTCGGGATGCAGGGGCGTGTGCTGCAGGGGCCGGGGGTTGGGGTCCTCGCTGGACTGCACAAAATTGTCCAGGTAGAAGTGGCTTGTGATGAATGAGGTGGCTTTGCGGTCCGGCTGATCCAGGGGCAGCGGCTCATTCCGCTCAAGGTAGCCCACCACCTGCTCAAAGCGCGGGCGCAGCTGGGGTACCTGGCGGTGCACGGCCTCCGTCAGCCGGCTCACGTCGTCCAGGCCCCTCCTGCGCTCGCCTAGCCAGTTGTTGAAGGCCCGCGCCTCCTCCAGTTCTCGGTAGCGCTTCAGCAGCAGCGGCTGCAAGTTGTAACTGGGGTACGTCCTGCGGAACCACCGAGGTTCAATCGACATCATCTTGCCTTTATACCAGTACGCTTGCGCCTGTGGTCAGCCGGTCATAAGCGGACTGCCTCTCCAGCATGCGCAGGGCGCGCTGCTGCTCTCTTGTGAGCTGAGGTGCCTCAACCGCCGGTGCCTCCGCTGGTGCCTCAGCCGGTGCCTCCGCTGGTGCCTCCGCTGGTGCCGTCTCAAGCGGAGGCTTTGGCTTGCGCTTTGGGGCAGCCGGCTCAGTAGGCACGTCCTGCTTCGGTTTGTTCTTGCTCCCAGGGGGCCTGCCCCGCCGTTTCGGTTCCGGCGCAGCGTGCACCTCTTGCACCTCTTGCGCCTCCGGCGCCTCTTGCGCCTCCGGCGCCCTGTCGTGTTCGGTTGGCTCCATTTAATTATACGTGGTCAAGATATAACACGAACGACAAAGACGACCCGCGAAGCCGGACGACGTTGCCGTCCAGGTCGGTCAGGCGGAAGCGCATGTGCCTCAGGGTAACCGGGCCCCTGAGGGCCATGAAGTGCCCGTCGTCTGAGCCCGTCTCCACAATGGTGCCCACTCCGCTCTTCAGCGTGATCTTGGAGAGGATGTCGTCGCCCAGGTTGCCCAGCACTCTGCTGGCGTTGGCCAGCTGGGCGCAGCGCAGGTAGACCTCGTTGTGCGCCATCATCCGGACGAACTCAAAGACCTGCTGCCCGCCGGAGACGAAGCTCGGGCCCAGCATGTGGTCCACGCTGAAGGGCTTGGTGGGAGAGGCGGGCGGCGCGGCGGGGTAGTCCACCGCGTCGGGAAATTGCTGGCGCAGCTCCAGGTCGTTCAGAATGAGCCTGTTGCCGTCGTAGGCGACGCTCAGACTGTTCGTGGTCTCGCTATAGGTGGCGGTGGCAAAGTTGGAGCTGATCCAGGCGGCCAACCGTGCGCCAGTGTACGTGCCCTCGGGCAACAACGCCCAGTTCAGCGTGCCCAGCGCGGCGTCAACCCAGTAGAGGTAGCGGCCCGGTCCGTGGACAAAAAGCTGTCGGCCAGGCGGATCTTGTAGACGGCGAGCCGGGCGTCGCTCTGCAAGTGCAGGGACTCTCCCAGGTCTACCTCAAAGTCGCTGTCCGAGCCGGCCACTCTCTTGCGGCTGTCCACGTAGATAGTGGTCATCCTTTTCTATAGGAACCCGCCCGTCCGGCGGACGACGGGCGGCTGGACGGCTGCGACGGAGGTGCAGCAGGAGATGTTCTCGCACTTCGCGTTGATCAGCGTGGAGCTGGCGAACAGCTTCTGGCCCAGGAAGCTGAGCGCCGCTCCCATCGGCGTCTTTTTCAAGTGCGAAACGCTCTTCAAAGCGCTTGTAGAACATTTCATTCCTCGGCTTCAGGTAGTAGACGAAAGAGGAAGCTGTAGGGTTCCCGCGTGCCTGCTCATACAGCCGGTACAGCTGCTCCTTTGGCAGCAGGGCGCTCAGCTCCTCAATAACGGCGTCCAGCTCGTGCTGGTTGCGCAGCCTCCAGCAGCAGAGGAATTGCATGTTCACCCGCACCGCTGCGCTGATGAGCCGCAGCTTCTGCGAGCTCACCCAGGTGCTGATCTGCATGTGCCGGCCCCTGATGAAGAGAGTGTCCAGGGCGCCGTGAGGCTTGTGCAACTGCGGCGTGTCAGCAAAGTCGTCGATGACTACAAGCACCTGGTACAGTTTCTTCATTTCCAACTTCTTGGACGCCTCCGTGATCTTGCGCTGCTGCTGGATGATGCGCCGCAGCGCCGCCTCGTCCCACTCGTCCCAATACGTCTGCTCCCGCTCTGTGTTCACCCCCAGGTCCCCCTCAATGTACTTCTTGACGGGGATCCAGCCGTCGTCTATGTTCACACTCGGGCTGAAGACGTAAATTCTCTCAAAGACGCCGCGATACTGCTCCAGAATCAGGCTGATCAGAGCCACGGTTTTGCCCGATTTTGATGGCCCGAGGAAGATGCCCGTGCATGGCACCAGGGGCACCACGGGGTCAGAGGGCTGCTTACTGCTATACTCTGTCGTAGGAAACAGCTTGATCTTCCCCATTCCTTTGCGTTACTTGCCAAATTTGAAGGCGGAAGCCGGGCGGCGAGTCTGGGAGCGCGTCTCTGTGTAAGACGCGCTTCCAGATTTTCTGGAGACACCGGGGCAATCCTGTGCCCACGCCAGGATTGAGTGGAGCAATCCTGTGCCCACGCCAGGATTGAGTGGGGCAATCCTGTGCCCACGCCAGGATTGACGGCAGGGCGTGTGAATGGTGAAAAAAAACACGGGAGTATGCTGCGAGGACAGCCCCCGGACCTTCGGCGCTGGCCCGGTGATGGGTTTTTCGGGCAATCCTGCGCCCACGCCAGGATTGACGGCTGGGCGTGTGAATGGTGAAAAAAACACTCCGTCAGTGGCACCCGCGAGGACAGCCCCGCTGACGGACCTCCGGCACTGGCCCGGTGATGGGTTTTTTCGGGCAAAAAGCGAAGTCGGAATTCCGACCTCGGTATAGAGCGAAGTCGGAATTCCGACCTCGGTGTGGCGCAGGCTCGGCAGGCTGGAGGCTTCTATGCCGGGCAGGTGGCGCGGCCGGGGGTGGAGGCTTCTATGCCGGGCAGGTGGCGCGGCAGGAATGTGGCGCGCTAGGTATCGAAGCCGTTGGGCGAGCCATCAAACGAGGTTGGGCGAGCCATCGCAAGCCAGTACTAAGGGGTCGTTGGGCAAGCCATCAAACAAGGTTGGGCAAGCCAGTACTAAGGGGTCGTTGGGCGAGCCACGGCGGATGCGCTCACGTTCAAGTCAGCACCGTGCAACTGCTCCTGTGACGGAGCCTGCAACTGCTCCTGTGACGGAGCCGTTCCTCGCTCCTGTGACGGAGCCGTTCCTCGCTCCTGTGACGGAGCCGCTCCTGCGACGGAGCCTGCAACTGCTCCTGTGACGGAGCCGCTCCTGTGACGGAGCCGTTCCTCGCTCCTGTGACGGAGCCGCTCCTGCGACGGAGCCTGCAAGTCTGCCGATGTCAACAACAACTCCAACATGTCAACGCACAATCCGTCAAACGCACAAGCATGCCAAACCCGTCTCGAAGACACGTCATGTTTTTTTGCAAGGGCAACAGCATCTGTTGGCGCGCGACTACTCAGCCTGCGCAGCTTGAGAATGGGCAAGTGCAACAAAGAGGAAAACAAATGCCCACCTCTTGGCCTTCTTGGAACGCCGTTTGGGCTCCTCCATGCCAACGATCTGCAATTCGGCACGAGCCTTGCAACAGGAGCGTGCAATTATGCCGTTTGAACGTCAAAAACATGCAAGCAGCGCAGCCCGCTGTTGGGCATCTTTCAGTTTTTTCTCCAAGTCCTGAAAAAAACGTCAGTTGCGAAATTAACAGGCAATCCGAAGCCCGGGCCTTGTTCTGCCTTTGCAAATCAGCGATCTGCGCCTTGCGCTCCCGAGCGAGCTCGGTGGAGAGGTCCAATTTACCATCTGTGTCCTGCGTGAAACACAAGAACACAACACTTGACGGTGATGAGAGGGCCTGGAGTTTTGCGGTCATCAGTGCAATCTTGGCGGAATACTCTTGACGCCGAGCCTGCAAACGACAAAAGCTCGTAAGAAAGAACAGTAACACTTCAAGCCAACAGCCTGGGACGTTTGAGCGTCCTTTGCATTCGTCTCTTTCAGATGCTGCACAGTGTCCTCCAGAGAACCCCCAAAAAACGGAAAGAGGGGGAAAAAAAGGGGTTGGTACTGCAACAAACATGCGCACCTGGAGCTGCGCCGCTTGAACCTGACAAGGCGCATTGAAAAAAAAAAGATCCGTGGCTAGCAGAGCGCCTTGAGTTGCGAGTTCTCGCTCAGCAGCTCGGTTTCCCTCTGCTTCAGAAGGGCGTTGGCAGCTGCGAAGCTGTGCAAAACTTTCTCACTCTCCTCCTTCTCCTGCTTGTGCTCTTCTTCTGCCTTCTGGGTTTTCTTCTTCAGCTGGTTCAGAGCTCCGGACGCCGAGCGATACTTGTTTCCTGCAATCGCAAACCCACGTCTTGACACGCCTTCAGCCTCAAGCAAAAAAACAACCACGCCTGACCACGACCAATGCCCTTGATCATGCCGACTCATGACCTGGTGTGCTGCAGAGAAAGATTCCAAATGAGACGGCGAGACTGAGACCCCCGCCAACCCGAGCCCGACCCTGATACGAGCAGTCAAGAAGAAGCTTCGCAGCACAAACGGCCGCGTTGAAATAGCAAGTGACACGCCGCTGAAACAATAAAAAATCAAGTGACAATTCATGCAAAATCCCCGGAACAACTCAAAACACATCCATGGCGAACTCATGACAATCAACATCCAGCGCGAGCGAAAAAAAACTTCCTTTTTTCCACAACACGTCCGACCAAAAAACGGCCGGGCACGCTAAGGAAAACAGTGGCAAGCTGGGCAAGACAGAGACAGCAATCACGGACTCGGCATCGAAGCCACGTCGGCGGGCTGGCGTGGCTCTGCCGAGCAGGTGGCGCGGCCGGGAGGCTTCTATGCCAGGCGCGGCAGGCACCAAGCCGCCGAACCCCCACAGTCCCCCGCGTCCTTGCTATACGTGCTATATGTGCTATATCTCACAAGGCAAGCCACTGAACATCCACTCTCCCCGGGTTCCTTGCTATATGTGCTATATGTGCTATATGGCCCTATATAGCACATATACTACAGATTTTCGCGCGTACAGAATATATAGCACATATAGTACATATAGCAAGGAGCTGGGGGAGAGTGGGGGTTCAGCGGCTTGGCGTGTAAGATATGTAGGTTTCTGTTTACAGAGGCCACTGTCTGTTAGGGTAGCGTAGGTTTATGAAGCGAACTTCCACCTGCTTGCGCTTACGCCTTGCTCCGCGTCGCCTGCGCTGTCAGCCATTCCTTTGGGGCTCGGGTATAAGTGCCGTTTTTTGAGGTGGCACTTGGAAGGCCCTTGCGGTTTTGAACCCAGTTAGGTTTGAACAGCACGCCGATTTGCAAACTCTCACTGCGTGTTTTGCTTGGGTCGTTTTGACTTTTGTGTGAGAGTTGCACGTTCACGCATGTGCTTGGGAATCTTTGAAAGATCGTTTGCCTCCTTCCGAGCTGGCTCAGGGAGGGTAGCGGTGGGGGCCACGCGATCTTTTTGGTTTCGCTTATGGGAGTGTGCCCTTCACGGCGGGCAGTGCGTACCGTGGGCCGGTGGCGCAGTATTGTGTATTCTTTGCTGCATTTGAGGAAGCTGCAGAGGTTTTTCCACTTGACTGGTACGACATTGCAGGCATATAGTCGACAGCTGCTCAATCGGCTGTCCCGCCATTTGCGGTGATGATGTCATCGTCAGATAAGGTGCACTCCGTGGCCGCTGAGCCAGTTGCAGGTGACGGGGGTACAAATCGGGCAACTGATGCTTCCCCCAGGGTACAGGCATTTCCAGACGCATTTGGGATCTTTTACTTGTGGACAACAGAGACAGCGGGCTGAAGCTACCATGGGAAATCGGCCCATTGGACTCACTTGGGCCTTCCACTCACCTTCGCTTGCCGTGGGTAGGGAGGTACGAGGCAATGGGCCTGGCAGCTTTGGAGCCTGAAAGTCCCTATGGGGCAGTCCCGGGAGAGCACATTCATTTGCAAAGAAGCGCTTGTTTTCTGCCAGGTTCGTCAAGGATGATGACGCTTTGCGGGCCAAGGCATTGCGATGCTTCAGGGACCTGGTCATGTTCATGCCCGAGGACTGCGCGGTGGGCAGATCGCTGATGAATGTGGCCGGGCAGCTAGAGCCCGAGGAAACAATCACAGCGACGTTCTGCGACGTGTTTGCCCCAAAGTCCACGGCCACCCTGGTCAAGAGGTCATCGGATTTCTACGCATTGGCAGAGTGGATTGTGAAACAGGGATGCAGGCCACTGAGTTTCTCAGAAAAGGAGCTTTATGCATATCTGCAGGTGTTGCGTCAGGCAGGTGCGGCCCCGACCAAAGCAGACTCGACGTTGCAAGCTGTCAGGTTTGTCATTGGCATACTGGGTGCATCTATGCAAGTTTCTCTGGTCGTGTCGAGTCGCTGCAAGGGAGCTGCCCGTGCAATGTTTGAGACTAAGGCACCTTTGAGGCAGGCAATTCCTTTACGTGCAGAGCAGGTATGGAAGCTGGAGAAGCTCATGGCGTGGTCGAGGCTGGAAAAGGTCTCGTTCAGCAAAGCGGGACCTGTGCATTTGGTGGAAGCCCAGTCCTTGTTGCACAAAGGCGGTAACACGCAGCAGAGGCGTACGAAGTTCTTGCCCCTCATGGCGTTGGGCTCCTGCTTAGATGTGAGGCCGTGGGCAGTCACTTGGGCAGTTGCGCGCAAGGAAGCTGGTCTCGAGGACTCGAAATTTCTAATGCCGGCACTGGCAGAACATAGCAAGTCTTGGCTGCGCAGGCGCATGACTACGGCCAAGGCGACCCAATATCTGCGGGAGCTGCTCGTTGAGGCTGGTGAGGATTTTGATGAAGCAGAGCAGGTGACGGGACACAGTTGCAAAGCGACAATTCCCACACGGGTGGGACGGCATGGTCAGTTTTCATTGGATGAACGTAGACTGCTGACTCACCACATGGACAAGAACAATGAGATGGTCCTCACTTACAGTCGAGACTCACTGACCGCCTTGCATACCAAGGTCTACAAGGTTCTGCAGCTAATCAAGTCTGCCGAGTTCAATCCAGATGCAAAGCCAGCTGAGGCCATCCGGCAGGCGTTGGGGCAAGATTGCGTGGAACCTGAGTTTTGGGAAGACGACGAGTCAGAGGATGAGGAGGACCTTTTTGCTGACCCTTCGGAGCCGGTCACACGCATCAGAAATCCAGCCAACCCAAAGTCAGAGAAAGGGACTTCGGCCATTCCAACAGTCATGCACATTCACTCAGGGGTGATGCACATTGCGGGATCGGATGGAGCTCTCAAGTGCGGGAGGGGAATGTCTAAGAACCTGGTCCCGGCCTCTGTGAAGCAGAATGAGCTGGCGGACTATAACGTTTGCAAGCAGTGCTTAGCAACTCATTGACCGGTGCGATGAAAAAAGCGCACGCCCAGGTAGGTCAGGCCATGAGACATCGTTAGGGCTGGGTGGCTAGGTGACGGAAAGCGCATGAGTCACGCTCCGAGCCGTTCATGTTTGGGCTTGCATGGGTGTGTGTGCTTACTGTGGCCTGGGTCGAGATGTCAGCAGGACTGGAAATCCAGGCCACGAATCCTGACACGACACAGGAGAGCAGGGCACGAAAACACACTGTTTGCAGATTCAGCCCTGTTGAGAGCTCGGGTTTTCTCAGCGTGTGCCATGGCAGTCACTGACTCAAAGGCCTCTTTCACGGCCCGAGCCACCGAGATTGGAGCCCAAGAAGATTTCATAGGTTTACTGAAAGATGCTGGTATTGAGACATTTGGTCAGCTGGCGTTTTGTTGTGGAGGTGACCTTTCAAGTGCAGACGACACCAAGCTGTTAGATGCTGCAGAAACAGCCGTGGGCCGGGAGCTCACGACCGGGGAGAAAATAGTGGTTCGACGTCTCTGGTTCGAAGCCAGGACGCTGTGCGTGTCTGAGTTGAAGGCCCGCGTTGAGAGGGCTGACGATGAGTTGCCACGCAAAATGCCGTTGGCAGAGAGAATGTCCCGTCTCGAGAACCAGAAGAAGCGACTGACGGGTCATTTGGACCTCGCAGACAGAGCCCTCGCATGCACTCCTCGACCGGGTCATGCAGATGCAGGAAAATGGTACCCTGGTATACCTGGCACCTACGCAGTGTACTTCGAGACAGGCAGAGATCAATGGCACGAGGTCGAAGCCAGAGCTGATTTTCGATTCTTCAGGCAATTTGAAGATGACCAAGAGGCAGATGGAGCTGGAGTGCAACACAGATGGAGACCTGGCTTTGCAGCAAGCCTTCCAGAGGAGGTCCCTGGCGTTCGACCAGGCAGGGTTGCTGTCATACGAAACGTCTGAGCGGTGGCACACAAAGCTTTTCCAGGCGAAGGGGCGGGAGCCACCCCCAAGCTATCGGTATGTGAGCGCCCAGCAGATTTTGGCTACGGACAGAGCCATGTGGGAGCGGTTGGCTCAGGACTCACGTGGAAAGCTCACAGCCGGGACGACGAACCCACTGGACAGCTTGATGAAGCAGTTTGCGGATGACCCGGAGGTGACGGTTTTTCTGCAACCACTGCCCATGGGGACTGCGAATGGGAATGCCAGGCGGAGCGACTCACCGCCGGGAAGTGCCAAGAGGAAGGAGCCGGAGCGGTCCAAGGGCAAAGGGTCCGGCAAATTTGCAGAGAAGAGGCATCCAGCTGCCGGAGAACTGTGTGCGGAAAACTGCAGACGGCAAGCCTTTGTGCTTCAAGTACCAGCACGGCAAGTGCCCACTGCAGAAGAAGGCGCGCTGCCGGTTCGGATTGCACAAGTGCTACTATAGGGGATGCGAGGCGGATCGCCCCTTTTCTGAATGCAAGCACTGACTATCCACACCTGCGGCCGCTGCTCCCGCGCCCGACAGAAGAGCAGTTTTTGTTGAGTTCTGCGCCGGGTCGGCAATCTTGTCGGCCACAATGAGGGAAGCAGGGTTTTTGGTCTACCCGGTGGATTGCCACCGAAATGCCTTTACGCCCAAGGCAGCAATTTTGGAGATGGATCTTTCAGACGAAATGGATGTCAGGCTCGCAGTCGAGCTCCTTCAGCAGGAAAGACCGGTGGTCGTTCACTTCGGATTGCCCTGCGGAACGTGCTCGCGCGCCAGGGACAAGGCCGTCCCCCTCGCACTGAGGAAGCAAGGGGCGCCAAGCCCCCCGCCTTTGAGGGATCATGATCATTTGCTGGGTCTGCCACACCTCAGCCCTTTAAATCAAATGAGAGTCGATTCCGCAAACAAGCTGTACAACCAGGCCGTGGAACTCTTGTTCGTTTGCTACAGCTTGGGCCTTTGGGTCAGTATTGAGAACCCACGCAGAAGCTGGTTGTGGCAAGTGCTGGCAGTATTGGTGAAGCAGCAGGGCGATTTGGGTTTCAGGCAGTGGTATTTTTGCCTTGTGGATGTGCATTACGACGCTTGCATGCATGGGGGCCGAGCAAAGGCCACGAGGCTGCTTTCCTCACCCGGCCTTTTCGAGTCGCTGGCAGTCGAGTGCGATCGAACTCATGAGCACAGCGAATGGAGCTTGAGCCGGCAGGATGGTGGGTGGGCTTTTGCCACCCACACGGAGGCCGAGTATCCACGCCTGTGTTGCAAGCGTTATGCATCGTGTGTGGCGGGCCATGTTGACCCGGGCGCGTTGCAGTCTTCACACATGCAGTTTCGGGCAAACTCGCTGGCCATGCAGAACAGGCAGCACAAGACAAACAGGCAGTTGATCCCTGAGTTTTCGGCGGTTGAATTCAGGCCAGAGGGCTACAAACCCCTCAAGAATGAGAAGATGCTGCAACCACACCTTGCGGGGGTAGTGTCCGTGGTTGATGAGGTGCTTTTGGATGAGGACTTGCCGTGCCCAGATGCCAGTGCCCCAGAAGCGAAGCAGTCACAGGCAGATCAAGCTCGCGTTGGGGTGTATTTCGATTGCGTGCAGCATGTGCAAAGGGCGTTACAGCTTCAGCGCCCCATGGACACGCGCTGCTCAATTCCGGACATTTTGAAGGTAGCAGTATTCAATATGATGATCTGGGGCCACGCAACCCTGGCAAAGCACCTCAGTGACTGTTTGAGTCAGGATATCCGGGCGGCCGTTGATCTCGCGAAGCAGGAGTCTGTTTTGCAAAAGTCGCTTGATGAGGCCGTGTCAGCAGTGGTGGGTGGCAAGAGACTGTTGCTTTTCAAGCGCTTGTGAGAGATTACGCATTTTCCTGACATGCGAGTGGTTGAGATCATGATGAAGGGCGTCGACCTAACCGGCATCGAACCAGAGAGCCCCCTTTTCGCACGAAAGTTTTGCCCGGCTTCAACCACGGAGCCGGTGTTGGAAAAGGCGGCGGTATGGAGGCGGCGCAGACTCATGGGAAGTAGCAAGGAGGATGCGGCGCTGGATTCAAAGAGGCTGCAAGAGATTTCAAGGGAGGAGGTCAGCAGTGGCTTCCTCAAGGGCCCCTTTGATTATGATTCTGTGGCTCCGCAGGTTGGGTCGGGAGACTGGTCGATGAGCAGGCGTTTCTTGCTCAGGCAAGGCGAGGAGGGAAAAGAGCGAGTCATCGACGACCTCAAAGAGTCTTGTGTCAATGCCTGTTATGCCAGCGTGTCAAAACTGGATTTGCATGATGTCGATTTCGTCTCTGCGTTGTTCCTCTTCGTGGCAAAGCTCCTGCAGTCGGGTCCCGTGCTGAGAGTTTGTCTGGCATCGGGACAAGAGTTGGTCGGGCACGTGCACGAGAGCGTCAGGGCGGATTCTGCCCTACAGGCACGCTGCTTGGACCTTAGCAAGGCTTACAAGCAGGTTCCGGTGGCTCCGTCCTCGCACAAGAGGGCCGTCCTGGGCGTCAGAGCAAATGAGGGTGCATGGGAATTTTATGTATGCCAGTCACTGCCGTTCGGGGCTTCAGCAAGCGTATTTGAGTTCAACAAGATCGCGAGAGCCCTGTGGTGGATCCTGGTAGTGAGGTATAACATAGTGGTGGCAAATTATTTCGATGACTATCCCATGCTGGCGTTCAGGGCGACGGCCACGAGTGTGGACAAGGCGGCCTCGTCGCTGCTTACCTTGCTGGGGTGGTCACACGCCCAAACGGGGAAGAAGGGGGCACCATTCTCCCAGACAGCGGTGGTGCTGGGAGCTTCCTTCAACGTCAGTCTTCTAAATGCCGGAAAGCTGACAGTGGAAAACAAGCCGGAGAGACTGGAGAGGATAGTGAAACTGGTGAAGGAGTTCAAGCAGAGCGAGGGGCGGAAATCGCTCGCTTCTTCGATTCACGGACTTCTGAATTATGCTAGCGGTTTCGTGCTGGGGCTGGCCTTGAAAATGTACACCAACGTTTTTGCAGGACTGGCGGCGGGAAAGTTAGCGCTGGAAGAGCATGTGAACCGGCGGCTGGACGAGTTGCTGGAACTTCTCCCAAGGCAGTGTCCACGGTGCATACAGATCTCCACAGATGAGCGGCCCTGCGTGATTTACACAGATGGGGCCTTTGAGGCTAGCTGCGCCACATGGGGCTACGTTTTCCTGGATCCTGCAAGCAACCACCGCGTGTGCAAGCATGGGTGGGTCCCAAACCACTTGAGAGACTTTTGGCTCAGGACGGTGGGAGAACAGATCATCGCGCAGACCGAGATGTATGCAGTGGTTTGCGCACTCTGGGATTTGCAGGAAAGGATGATGGACAGGCGTGTGCTGCTATTTATAGACAATGAGTCGTGTCGCTTTGCGCTCATCAAGCGAGCTTCGAGATCCAGTGCTGTTTTAGACATGCTGAAGGTCATAGGGGAGCTGGAGGCGAGCGCAAAAGCGTTCGTGTGGTTTGAGCGAGTTGCGAGTTTCACGAATCCGGCAGATTGGCCCTCGAGGCTTGATTCCGCTTCGTTGCCAGGAGAGTTGGGGGTGAAAGATGGAGGAAGGCTTGACTTGCCGGAAGAAGTCTGGCGGAGGCTCACAAGGGAGCCCAGACTTGGCACTCCGCGTGGAAGCGGGGGTGGTGGCCGAGCGAAAGAAGAGGAGGCGCCACTAAGCTGTGAAACAGCCGATTCAGTGGCACCATGAATCTTCCCCCGACTCTGGTAAGAGCAACGGAGCAGAAAAGATCGGAGCATCGCTTTTCGTTTCCTGTGCGTTTGCATGTGCCAATTTTATTTCTGAGCCGATGGATTCATCTCTCCGAGATCCGCAAAACCTCAACTGGGGTCGGTCCCCTTTTGGTTCCTTGTGTGGGGGGGGGGCGTTTCTGGGTTTGGCTCAACCCCCGGAGGTTTTGGCTGCATGCTGGGGGAAGGGCCCTGGCAGACGTAGGTTTCTGTTTACAGAGGCCACTGTCTGTTAGGGTAGCGTAGGTTTATGAAGCGAACTTCCACCTGCTTGCGCTTACGCCTTGCTCCGCGTCGCCTGCGCTGTCAGCCATTCCTTTGGGGCTCGGGTATAAGTGCCGTTTTTTGAGGTGGCACTTGGAAGGCCCTTGCGGTTTTGAACCCAGTTAGGTTTGAACAGCACGCCGATTTGCAAACTCTCACTGCGTGTTTTGCTTGGGTCGTTTTGACTTTTGTGTGAGAGTTGCACGTTCACGCATGTGCTTGGGAATCTTTGAAAGATCGTTTGCCTCCTTCCGAGCTGGCTCAGGGAGGGTAGCGGTGGGGGCCACGCGATCTTTTTGGTTTCGCTCCCTCCCACCCGCCCCCGAGCGAAAGAAGAGGAGGCGCCACTAAGCTGTGAAACAGCCGATTCAGTGGCACCATGAATCTTCCCCCGACTCTGGTAAGAGCAACGGAGCAGAAAAGATCGGAGCATCGCTTTTCGTTTCCTGTGCGTTTGCATGTGCCAATTTTATTTCTGAGCCGATGGATTCATCTCTCCGAGATCCGCAAAACCTGAACTGGGGTCGGTCCCCTTTTGGTTCCTTGTGTGGGGGGGGCGTTTCTGGGTTTGGCTCAACCCCCGGAGGTTTTGGCTGCATGCTGGGGGAAGGGCCCTGGCAGACAGCACATATAGCACATATAGCAAGGAGCCGGGGGAGAGTGGAGGTTCCGCGGCTTGGCGTGTAAGATATAGCACATATAGCACATATAGCAAGGAGCCCGGAGACTGTGGGGGTTCAGCGGCTTGGCGCGGCTTCAATGCCGGGCTTCGATACCGGGCTTCTATACCATATAGCACATATAGCACATATAGCAAGGATCTGGGGGAGAGTGGGGGTTCAGCGGCTTGGCGCACTCTGAATCAAATCCTGGGGGGAGTTCAATGCAGGGAATCCCTGCATTCCCGGTATCTCTCTCTTTAGAGGGCGTTTCCCAAATGGATTCTATTCTACCTGAGAGGCTCCCAGCACTCGTCCGTCCAGCATTTGACCTCGTCCTGCGAAGGATTCGAAGTCTAAAACGCTGCGTGGAGGCGTGTGGCTGCAAAATAGAGACCCCTAGATATGCGCCGCAATTTGGCTCCAGGTTGCATTTCAAGCGATGTCAAGCTTTGCCAAAGGAAACCCCTTTTCCCTTTTTTTCGGGGACCCCTTTTTTTGGGACCCCTTTTTTTCTTTTTTTTTGTTTTTTTCTTAGCCCTGCAAAGGTTGGCTCGCTTGAAATGCAACCTGGAGCCAAATTGCAAGCATATCTAGGGGTCATTATTTTGCAGCCACACGCCTCCACGCAGCGTTTTAGACTTCGAATCCTTCGCAGGACGAGGTCAAATGCTGGACGGACGAGTGCTGGGAGCCTCTCAGGTAGAATAGAATCCATTTGGGAAACGCCCTCTAAAGAGAGAGCCCGCACGTTGAGTCAGGTGCGAGTGGTCGAGGTGACCATTCCGTGCCGTCGCTCCACCGAGTGGCCCCGTCAAATTCTTCCACTTCGTTCCTCGAAGTCGTCCAAGGCGAAGCCCAGCCTCAGGTCCCCGTTCATGGGAGTCGAACTTGCGCTCTGCCACGTCGGTCTCGGCAATCTCCGTCTTCACCTGGCTGTCCGACAAGTCCGTGAAGCTCGTGTTGCAGACCACGTTGCCCGTGTTGCCGGCGATCACAAGGCAGCCGGGGTTCCTGGGACAGCTGCGTCGAGAGGCTCTTTGTCTGCACCAGCGCCTCGTCGTTGATCATGATGTTGGACACTTGCAGCTTGCTCCACCTGTTCTTCGTCAGGAAGAGATCGTCCGAGAAGTCGGAGGTGTTGGTCACGGTGAGCGCGCTAGCGTCCGCCTTGCCGAGGAGGGCGGCGTCCAGGGCTGGTGGTGACTGCGCCCAGGAGGCTATCTTAGAGTCCACCTGTTACTTGTGCGTAGCTGCCCGGCGGTGACGTGCGTGCCGCCAGTTACCTCTCCGTTGTCCAGGACCTCCGGGATGTTGCCGGTGACAGGTCCTTCAAACATGTTTACATATGTTTTTGCCGACATCGGCCGTGTGGGCTACCTGCGCCACAGCTAAGATGCCACTGAGTGGTGTCAGCACCCGCTCGGGCGACCTTGCTCGGTTCACCTTCAAGGGCCTGGACGGCACGATGACGGACCTGTTCATCCACCTGGTGGCCTACCAGCTGGTGACGCTCTCCGGCACGGGCGTCTCGGTGCTCGACTAGCGCCAAAAAAAACTCCAAAAAAAGGCCCGCTGCCCTTCTTAGTCGTTTTTGACTAGAGGTGGCAGCGACCAAAAAATGACAAAAAAAACCGCTGTCGTTCGCCGCCGTTTTTGGCTAGAGACGACTGCGCCCAAAAAATGAGATAAAAAGGCCCGCTGCCCTTCAACGCCGTTTTGGCTACAAGTGGCACCGCCACAAAAAACATGCAAAAACCCGGAAAAATGGGCTTGTTCCAGGCTCCCTGGTTGCAGGGAAGTCAGAACGGCCTAGTCCGGAATGCTCAGCCGCCAAGCTCTGCCGTGGCCGCGCGCGCAATCTCGTCGCACAGCGCAGCAGGAACGCTGTAGAGCAGCTTGCGTGACTGATGGCTGACCTGCCCCTCCAGCAGCCGGGCCTGCACAGCCCTCGCCTCGGCCTCCAGCGCATGTTGGTCCACAGCCGCGTCTGCTTCCTGTACGGAGTTCCGTACTTGCAGTAGGTCACGTCCACCAGGGCAGGCGCTCCATGAACGGGCGGGTCTTCAGCAGCCCGGTGGCCGGGTTCTCAACGACCCACATCAAAGGGTCAAAGTGCGCAATGATCTCAAGCCAGCACGTCGCCCTCCTCAATTCGTCGTGGGCGCGGTGCCATGTCGAAGTGCCCCGACGGAAACGTCATGTAGTCCCAGCTCCGGATGTCGCACAGGATCGTGGGCTCAAATTTCGACACGATGTCCAGCGAGACGACTTCCCAGCCCGCCGCCTCGAAGGCCCTGTCCACCGACTTGGTGCCGCAGAAAAGCTCCAGGAGTCTCGGCATTTTTAAAGAGCAAGATCACCGCCAGTGCGACGATGAAGACTCGCACGTTCATCGGACCGGACTTTTTTCTCCGCGGGATAAAAAGCCGAACTTCGCAACCATGAAGCTTGCACTCGGGCTGGACGTTCAGACCAATGCCAAGGGGGGGAAATTCATGTCCGTAGTGCTGTGGGAGCCCAGGGCGTCATTGACAACATGATCATCTTCCAGAAGCCGCCCGCACCGAGCTTGAGCCAGCTGCAGCGCGCCGTCAAGGTGAGCGCCAAGGGCAAGCACGTCAAGTGCAAGATTGACTTGGAGCGCTGCCTCTTCTAGGACCCGGCCGGCAACCGCGCGCCGCGCCCCGCGGAGCGTCGCAAAGGCCGCGCGCTTGTGACGTGTGGCTGATGGGCAGGCAGTGGGGCGTGCTCTTCGAGGTGCGCCACCTCATGCTGGAGCCCCTGGAGGCCGTGCTGCCCGTTCGGCTAGGCCGCCTCCAGCAGCTCGGAGCTCGTCGCCCTTGACGCGCCCACGCACAGGTGGCGCAGCGTGAGGTGGCACGACTCCAGGTTCAGGCGGACGCGGTTGTGGAGGGTGAGGCCCTGGCAGCTGGCGTAGGTCACTGCGTGGCTCGGCCGGGTGGCCCGCAGCAGCTCCTGGTTCTTCAGCCGCATGCCGTTGTCCAGCCTCACTCCGTCCGGCTCCACTTCCGCCACCGCCACAAAGACTCCTTTGCGTATCTTTCCGCCGGCCCCGATGAGGCGCAGCCCCGGCCAAACTCTCATGCTCTGCGGGCTGTTTTGGGGTATCACACCCATTTTCGGTTGTCATAAATAAAACAGCGTTACCGATTCGTAACACCCATTTTGGGTCGTTACCGATTCGTAACAACCCAAATCTGTGTGGATGACTTGTGTCTCCAATTGGAGCAGCTTTGAGGTTTGCGGCGCCAGGGCCCGGTTCGCCGCTGCGTTGACGGCCATGCGCTTGCTGTGGCTGATGACCAGCGTGGTGTCCGGCCACCCGGGCTTGGAGGGGTAGAGCTCCTTCAGCCTCGCCTTGGCCTGCTCCAGCGTGGGGCACCCCTCCTCGCCGACCCGCAGCCACTTCACGAAGTCGAAGATGCCGGAGTCGGAGCGCATGTTCTCCGCAGCTGTCGGAAGTCGCCCAGCAGCAAGAACTTCACGCGTTCAGCCCCACGCAGGCCAGGTCCGCCCAGAGCGCCATGTCCAGCTGCGTGATCTCTTCCACAACCAGCCAGTCCAGCTTTTGCGCGCTGCCGCCGCGCACGTACCTGCACACCCAGTGGTCGGCCGTCTGCGCCCCCAGCCCCAGGTTCTGTGCGGAGCAGTGTGTCGCTCTGCTCTCGCAGCCTCGCAACGATCGTTCGGGCCAGGTGCGTCTTTTCGGTGCCCGGCAGGCCCGTGAGCAGCAGGGAGTTGCCCGCCAGGCAGTGGTTGGTTGACAGGGTCGTCCACCTCGTTCCATTTCTGTTGTTTGGGGCTCTCCGCCTCCACGGCGGCGCCCTGCTGCTGCCCAGCAACGGCTTCGTCTCTTCTACGCGGTCCGGCGCGCCGTCCGGGTGGCGCAGCGCCTCAAGCGCCCGCAGCCGCTCCGTGAAGCGCTTCGGCAGCCGCTGCGTCAGCAGGCAGTCCATCTTCACCTGCGCGAGGTAGCGCGGCGGCGCGTCCAGGATGCGCCGGGCCTTGGCCA